AGAGTGGGATTAGACTGGGTGGGATATTACAGGGAGCGGGGAGTGAGGGGGGAAGAGTGGGATTAGACTGGGTGGGATATTACAGGGAGCGGAGATCTGAATCCCTGCTGGCTGTCTGTCCCCTCCTTTTAATTCTTGTTTTCCTGGGGTAATGACAAAGTTAGGAAGAAAGGGAGTCTGTCCTTCCCATCCTGACCATACCGAGCTCCGAGATTCTCACTCTGTTACAAGCTGCACTGGGTTTGCAGGCAGCAATATCTATCTCCCTAATAATACTGATGCCCTACCAGTGAGGGCAATTTCTTTATTCAAAACTGTCAATCTTTGGCTATTTCCTCACCACAGGAATGTGGGAGCTCAGACAGTGAGCACACTCAAGACTGAGAATGAGAGAGTTTTTAAAAATGTGCTGATGTGATGCAGACATTGCTGGCTGGGCCAGCATCTACTGCCCATCTCTTAACTATCCTCGAGGCAATTAGGGCCAACCCCATTGGTCTGGAGTCACAGGTGGACCAGTCCAGGTAAGGATGGCAGATTTTCCTCCCTGAAGTAATTGTGAACGAGATTGGATGGAACTGCTCTGCGCAAGACCGCAGGAAATTACAGAGAGATGTGAACACAGCCCAGTCCATCACACAAACCAGCCTTCCTTCTATAGACTCCATTTCATTTCCCACTGCTAACATCAAAGACCCCTCCCTGCCCAGTTACACTTTCTTACACCCGCTTCCATCGGGTTGAGGATATAAAAATTTGAAAACGTGCTCACAGACTCAAGAACAGCTTCTTCTCCACTGTTATCAGACTAATGAATGGACTTCTCAAATATTAGAGTTGCTCTTTCCCTGCACTTGCTCTGTGGCTGTAACACAATGTTCTATACCCTGATGTACTTATGTAAAGTACGATTTGTCTGGTTAGCATGCAGAATAATACTTTTTACTGTGTCTCCGTATATGTGACAGCAATAAATCAAACCAAATTGACAAAAGTTACATGGTTTACACTCGGCTAGCTTCCTATGGTTTCAAATATTGGCAGATTCAATCCTCTGTCCCCAGAACATTAGACTGGGCTCCTGGATTACTAATCCAGAAATATTACCATTACACACCACCTCCCTCATGGGACAACAGCAAAGACATCACTGCATTCATCAAGCAGCTCTTCAACAAAACATCCAGAATCAGAGGGACAGACCTGTCCCCACCGGTACTGTACCCCAGTGTTACACAGTGAC